TGGCTAACCCCGACAGAAAGGGTGATGCACCCAAACTAACAGATATTAATAAAGTCATAAGATACAGAGACTTAATTAATGGACAGGGAAATTTAAAAACAATCAAAGAATTGGCAGAAGAAAACATGAAAGTCAACTGGCTAACTACAGCTGTGTGAAAAAGTCCTGCACGCTTTATGGTTTATAACCTTTCTTGGATAGGCAATTGATTTTATATTTTATGCTAACTGCTATGCAAATATTGTTATATTTAAATAAATACTGGTGGTTTTTAAGTGAAAAGCATAAGCTTTTTGCAATTTGGTACTGTTTGAATGGAGATTACAATGACTATGAAAACAGATTAACTGAGGCATACCCAGTGGCATACATGTTGCAATTACTAAGGCTGATGCTAGTGTGTTGTTAACATTTTGATTGTTTGTGGCCCTGAAAAGGACCATTTAGGTAACCAAATAGGGTTACTAATATGAAATTGTCCAGCCCTTATTGCTTATCACCAGGCAGCATCGCTTCAGCATAGACTGTATAAACCTTTGCACATGATCTTTGGTGACAATGTGGTGCCAGGCTGCAATAATGGATTCAATCAGCTCCTGCTTGGTCTTAGGATGCTTCTTGCTTATTTTGTAACCAAACTTGGTCCAAAAGTTCTCAATTGGGTTCAAATCTGGGTTCTGAGCTGGCCAATCCAGGAGTTGAACACAATGCTTCTTCATCCTCTGCTGGACGGACTTGGCTCAATGACAAGGAGCGTTGTCATCCTGGAAGTAAAAGTCCTTCCCTAAAAGTTGCTGAGCTGAAGGAAGCATGGTCTTTCAGGACTTCAACATACTGCTTGGAATTCATGATTCCCTGCACGATTTGTATCCAACCAATACCAGAAGCAGCGATACAGCTCCAGATCATCACATGCAATGGATGCTTCATAGATAAATTCAGGCAGTACGGCCAAAATTCTTCAGCTGGAAGTCTTCTGACATACTTATTGCTCTGATTCCCAGTCAAGTAGAAATTGCTCTCGTCACTGAAGATGATCTTGGCCCACTGTTCGTTGGTCCACCTGACATACTTCTTGGCCCATGCACATCGACGGAGAGCAGTGACCGTCTGTGAGGTTTACTTCGAGCTCTGCAGCCTTTGAGCAAGTGTGCTTGTGCACATTTTTACATTAGGTTTCACTCCAAATTCTTATAACCTGAGGTGAGGCGAGCTTCCTGTCATCCATTGAAATGCGTTGCAGAGCCTGATCTTGCCGTTTTGTCAACTTTCTTGGTCTTCCAGAGCAGAGCCTGTCATCAACTGAACTAGTTATTTGGTATTTTTCAACCACTCTGCTCATTGTGGTGCGATGGGATTTCACTCTCTTGGCTATTTCTGTACAGGAGTAACTCTCTTCATGAACCACAATGATGTGATGCCGCTGCTTAGCACTGGTGAAATCAAAGGCCTTCATCCTTGTCTGCAGCCAGAGCTAAATTAAATTTCTCACTGCTTTTCATGCCTATTTATAGTCAGAGAGTATAACAACCTTGATTGGCTCATAGATTTAGCCTCTGTGCTTTTTGATTGGTCAGCCAAAGCTCTCTGCTGATTGACTACTTTCAATCCTAACAGTCTCAAAGAATTGAGAAACCAAGAGAAACATATGTGCCAAATTTCAAGTTTGTGGGTTTTACAGTTCTGGAGATTTCATGATCCTGCATGAGTGGTATTTTGTTTGTGAGTGTGTGTGTGTGTGTGTGTGTACCATGTTTCCCCCAAAATACGACATGTCCTGATATTAAGGCCATGCCACATTTTTCTGGCGGGCAAAAAGATAAGCCTTCCCCTGCAAATAAACCCCCTGGACAACTTCCCACCTCCAACCAGGCAGAGCGCCACTCACCAACCTAGTGGTATCCCGAAGGTGCCAAGCTGCGGGAACCAGGGGGCAAAGGTAATCGCATTGCTTGGTGCCTTCGGGATACCACTCCCAGAGCCGGGCATAGCAGCCACCCGGCAAACCCCCTTTCCAGCCGGGCACAGCGCCATTCACTGACCTAGGGGTATCGCCAAGCCGTGTGAACACCTGTTCACCGCTGCCCAGCTCTCGTGGCTTGGCGCCTTCAAAATGCCAGTGAATGGCACTCTGCATGGCTGGAGAAGGGGGTTGCGCGAGTGGCTGTTCCGCTCCCACTCGCTTGCTTCCTAGCCTCACGATGCCCTGGCCGAGCTCTCCCTGCAGAGCCAGGGCACTTCCGCCACCGCCATCCCAGCATGGCTTTTTCGGCAGCTTCCAAACTGAGTCTTCCGGCAGTGGCCGCTCTGGGCGTACGGTCCATGGTTGTGGGATGGCTGTGAACAACCATAGAGCGTATGCCCAGAGCAGCCACTGCCAAAAGACTCGGTTTGGAAGCCGCTGAAAAAGCCATGCTGGGATGGCGGTGGCAGCGGCAGCGGAGGTGTCCTGGCTCTGCAGGGAGAGCTGGGCCAGGACATTGTGAGGCTGGGAGGCGTGTGAGCAAGAGCGGAACAACCGCTCGCGCAACCCTCCTCTCCAGCCATACAGAGAGCCATTCACTGGCATTCCAGAGGTGCCAAGCCACGGGAGCCGGGCGGCGGTGAACAGGCACTCACATGGTTTGGCGATACCCCTAGGTCAGTGAATGGCGCTGTGCCTGGCTGGAAAGGGGGTTTGCTGGGTGGCTGCTCATGAGCGTGGTTGTTTCATGGCTGTTGAGTTGTGCTGCTGCGACAGCGCAACACAGCCATTCGCCCATGAGGCTGTGCCCAGCTTTTTGGAAGCCCGCTCGCAAGAGAGCAGCCACCCGGCAATCCCAAAACAATAAACCCTCCCCTCATAATAAGGCCCAAGCCATATTTTTTGTGTAAAGAAAATAAGACCCTGTCTTATTTTCAGGGAAGCATGGTATGTATGTTTGTGTGTGTGTGTGTGTGTGTATAAACATAAATAAAATAGGGATTTAAAATAATACACATTAACTTTAAAATAAATTATGTATTATAATAATACAAATGATAACATGAAGAAACCCTCAACAGAGCAATTTACTCCTCAGAAGGAAATGATAAGAGAACTGCCATGTTGAGGGGAGTAGGAGTAACTAAGAAGACAATGCTTCCTTGGCCCCTAAAGATAGCAATCTCTAATCAAAGATATATTTTAAAAGCTTGCCATACTATATCAAGCAACAGATGTTACTACGAAAAAGTGACAAGACTTTAAAAGTGACAATCAGCACTCTGAATTATGTCCAGAAGCTAACTGGCAAATAATGCAGCTCTTAGCATAGAGGTGTTATGTAGATTTTGTTCCTATCATTGTAGTTTTATTAAATTCTTAAGAACATGGTCCATTTAACTTCTTTGAATAACAATAAGCTTACCTGTAAACCACAACTGGCAGCTTCCACAATTGCCATACAAAACGCTTCTGTGAGAGAGGTGTTAAGAAAAATATGACCTTGAACCAAGATGTTTCTAACTTCCTGGTGTTCTAAAGCTCCTAGAAGACGAACTCTATAAAGTTTTGGGAAACAGGTAAAGAAAATATTGATAGAAGTATTTTTATCAATTGAGAAAATCACAATCCAAAATAAATACTTGCAACTAAACCTGAAACCAATAGAACTGGATTATGAATAAACTACTAATGCTATTGGTATCAATGAATTTTCAAAGTGTTTAATGTCATAAGGAATGTAGCTAAATCAATTCTCAATTTTTCCCAACTCTTGTCTTCAAAGAAGGCTAAAATGCTAAATATTGGTTCAGCTATATTGCAACTATTCAATAGTCAAGTACAAAGAAACAAAATAGCGAGTTCTAAGTTCATCTAAACATCTCATGTCACTGCAATTCTTAATATTTTTACCAATAATATTTGATTTATTTTCTAAGTAATAAATAGAAAAAATAATCAAGAGAAACAGAAATTTTCTCATTTAAAATAATTTCTATTGATGCTTCATGGTTTTTATTTCTGAGTTATTTATAAAATTATTTCAGTATTAGATTGATATCCATCTGCAGTTTCACACTGAAAATATAGGTAGTCCTTGACTTACAACAGTTCATTTAGTGACCGTTCAAAGCACTGAAAAATGTGATTTATGACCATTTTTCACAGTTACCACCTGTGCAGTATCCCCATGATTATGTGATCAAAATTCAGATGGTTGACAACTGGTTCATACTTATGACCAATGCTGCATCCAAGGTCACGTGATCACTTTTTGTGACCTTCTGACAAACAAAATCAATGAGGGAGCAAGATTCACATAACAATTGGGTTACTTACTTATTAACTGCAGTGATTCATTTAACTATGGCAAGAAAGGTCATAAAATGGGGCAAAACTCACAACAAACATCTCATTTAATAACAGAAGTTTTGAGCTCAATGGGAATTGTAAGTCGACGACTACCTGTATTCAGAAGATATCATCCTGAACAGGAAGATAATTTATAATGATCTAAAAAAAAGAAACATGGCATGATAAGCTGCTCCAAATAATCATAAGAAAACAATTAAAAGTAGCTTATGAATAACAAATGCCAGAATATTTAAGGATAATCCAGTTAATTTCTCTACTTTTTCCAATAAGACTTATTACAGTATACAGACATACACTGACACCAATGAGCACACAGGTTCATGCACAGAAAATACTGTGACATCTCCAAAGAAATATAAATTTATAAAACAATCAAAACACTTTACTAGTTTATTTAAAATTACCATAATCAATGATATAATCTCAGGGCAGCATTATTGCAGAAAGCTAAAATATATTTCGAAGATGAGTATGAAAGGCATGCTGTAAATGCAACTGACATAAACTAGATTTAGCCATAATTTCTTTTCTGTTCCATGTTTTAAGTTTTTTTTATTTACTAGTTTTTATACCTTTTCTACATTTTTAAAATGGAATAAAATAACATGAAAGGTATACATGCATAAACAAAACAATATTATCCATTGTGTAAAATCATAATCCTATTTCTTTCTTCATTTCCCTGCTAAATCTTCGATTAGCAATATTAAATGCAATGCAGAAAACATACCAATTTTGTTGTATTTAATAATACAACAATAAAGATTATACTATACCATACCTCTCATGTAGTTGATATCTTTCCCGTACTTCTTCTAATACAATTCTTTTTGGTCCTTCTCCTCCAACTAAGAAATGTAAATCTGGATACTTCTGACATAGCTCAGGAATTATACCACTAAGTAAATCAATACCTAAAGGAAAAATATTTTTTCAGTTTTAAATAAAATGATTTATTAAGCAATAATCTTAGAATTTCAAAACCAAAGTACAATTTTTCAAATATTAGATACCTTAATAATTTACTAACCCATATTATATTAATATTACATTTTTTGAAAAAACTACTTACAACCCCTTCTGAAAATTATGATTCTTATACTACCACCACCCCTTGCAGTTGTGATTGCATTTTCAGTGCTTGACAACCAGCTTGCAATTATGACCAGTTGTAATATCCTGGTGTCATGAGAGTGTAATATGGGAACTTCTATTTTCCAGCATAAAATGTTAATTAGATATGCTGATTTTGTTTAATGACATGATTTGCTTAATGACTGAGGTGGTTTGTTCTATAACTATCGTAAAAACATAATAAAATTGAGTCAAGTAACACAGTGACCCGCTGAATTGTAACAAGGTATGAGCAAAATTCTGAGGTCAAGGGTATACAACTTACTCTTTTTATAAAAAAAACAATCTTATTTTCAATAACACTCTTCATTTCATTTAGAATTAAATAAAAATCCTAAAGCTTCAGATTAATGGCTGGCAATTTTTAAGGTAAAAACACCACTATGCCTTATATTTAAAAAGAAATAAAGCATTTATTATTTAAACGCTTAAAATGTACTGAATATCAAGAATGTCATGCAAGAGATCATTTTAATTTTGGAAGTTAGTAGTTAGTGGACATCTTTTAATTACCATATTTTTCAGAGTATAAGAAACACTCCCCCCCCTTAAAAGAGGGTGAAAATTTGGATGCGGCTTATATACCAAATGTAGCCCAACCCACCTACCTCCACCCTTTGCCTCCCAGCAATTTACCTTCTTGCAGTAAACAGGGAAAATGGGGCTTGTTGGCAATAGGCTATGGCAATCCCTGCAGCCTGAAATAGCTGATGATCGGGATGTCCCTGCTGAAATTGAAAGTGAAAGTTGTTGGTTGCTGCACAGAGGCAAATTGCTGAGGCAGAGGCAGATTATTTTTTTCTTGTGCTAATTAGGCTGTTTGCTGCAAGGAGTTAAGTCAATAACTATAAATGCCTATAGAATGTTCAAATTATTAGACTTATTTTTTAAAGACTGCTTTATTATTATTCTAGACAATTTAACAAAATGAAGCTTTTTAAAATAAATGCTTGATCTGAAGAGGCCCAGTGCTATTGTATCTTATTTTAAATAGCAGAGAAAGGCACAAGCCAAAATGAAAACCCAACAAGCTGATGATTTAAAGAGAGTCCTGAAAGCAGCTTTGGAGGAGAATAAGTGATTCCAAAGCCACAAGGGGAATGTATAGCTAGCTTGGTGGGAGTCAAACTATATGTCCCACAAAGCCAATGGTTCTACAAAAAAGCTGATTCAAAAATGGCGGGGCATTTTGGTTTTATAAAAACTCTGCACCTAATCAAGTGGTGGTCATCACTGAAAAAGGATATAGAGACTTGTGTGGTTAGCTGCCCCACTTGTGCCTCTGCTAAGGAAAAACACTTGGGCGTCTCCAGCCAGTACTTAAAACCCCATGGAAAGATATAGCAATAGACTATCTTAGAACTGCCCAAAAGCTCAGGTAATATGGTAATTTGGATGATGACAGAGTTGGTTTACAAGCAAGTGCACTTTACATTATGTCAAAGAATTTCCTGTGTGCACTTTGGCTAAATTATTCATGCAGCAAGTCTACCAGCTGCATGGTAAGAACAATCTCAGATTGTGGAGTCCTGAATTTTGTGATTTTGGCAGGAGTTCCTAAAATTTTTAGGTACCATTCAGGGGCTCAACTCCTTACATCATCCAGCTACTAATGAGAGCTGTGAATGGCAATGGCATCCTGGAGCAGTAAGTCAGATGATATATTACCTCCCCTTTCACAGAGGTCACCTACATTTAAATTACATTTAAGACCTTTGCTTAAAATTTAAAGACCATGCCAAGTAACACTATCTCTTTCCTCCCTCTCTCTCTCCCTCAAGTTGGTTACAGTTGATCCAGTTTATAGATTCAATTCATGTCACATTACATATTAATCCAGAATTAAATTACATCAGTCATGGGTCTAAAATCAAGTTCAGACAAGATAGAAACATCATAGGGCTTTAAAAAAATTACTCCTTATGTCATGCAAAATATTTAATTATATTTAAAATGCAAAATCAGTAATTTCTGATCCATACACATAAAAAAGCATTTAAATACATCTTACCCTTCCAACCTTATTACCTTTTCTATATACAAGTCTGCTAACCACAACAATAGTTATTGTGTTGTCGTCACGTTCAGATGCATCTGGAGTGAAGTCAGTAGGATCAACAGCATTAGGGATGACAGAAACTATTTCTGGATTAAGTGCTGCTCTCAATACAGTATTCTCTTTGCTTGTGTAAGAAACACATATTATGTGGTTTGTATCACATAGTGATACAGTCAATAGTTTATTTGTAAGCACCGAACTGACATCAGCAAATCCAAAAAGTGAGTGATCTGTAAAAATTGTCCGTAGCTGCATTGTCTTAGCGTGAAACAGTGCATCATGAGCCATAGAAGAAAATGAACTATGTGCATGGACAATGGTGATTCTTTCTCGAATAAATATGTACCTGAGAAGAGGCAGACTGTGAAAAAGAGTAGTGGCTGTAGATTGGTTGTACATTACTCTTAATGGTAAATAATAGACCTTTAGTCCATTGGTGAGGTATCGAATGCCTTTGCGATCATCATAAGCATGGGTGATTACAATAACTTTGTGCCCTCTTTCAATTAGGCACTGTGACAACTGGTAAATATGGCTTTCCACTCCACCCATGTTTGGATAAAAAAAGTCAGACACCATACATATTCTATGAACTTGACTGGCACATGCTGGATGATTATGAGAATTCATAGTTGAAATGATGGAAGAGAGAAGCTGTTCTTGAGTTTCTTCTCTTCTACAGGCCATATTAATTAATAATTAGTCCATGTAAACACCATTCACTTTGAAAAGGAAATTCCTAGATGGAGAAAAATCCACACATTAAGACAAAAAGTGTTTCACTATAGGAATTATCACTTTGAAAGGAATAACATTTTATAATGCAATCCTACACATAATTACACAATCAAGTACAGATAGTTTTTGAGTTACAACAGTTCATTTAGTGATTGTTTGAAGTTACAACGCACTAAAAAAAGTTGACTAATGTCATTAGTTTTTCACACCTATGAACCATTGCCGCATCCTCTTGGTCACATGATCAAAATTCAGATGCTTGGCAATTGGTTCATTCTTATGACATGTGCTGTGTCCCAGGGCATCTGATCACCTTTTGAAACCTTTGGACAAGCAAAATCAATGGGAAGCTAGATTCACTTATCAGTCAAGTTACTAATTATCAACTGCAATAATTCACTTAACAACTGTGGCAAGAAAGATCGTAAAGTGGGGCAAAATTCACTTAACGAATGTTGCACTTAGCAACAGAAATTCTGGGCTCAATTGTGGTCATAAGTCGAGGACTACTTGTACAGTCATATCTGCAATATGAGAGGGGTTGTAGGAATGAAAATCATACACCTATGAATTAAAATGAAGCTTTAGAAGCACTGTATTCAATGAAGCTTATTCAGACAGGGTTACCCAAATTAAGGCAGGCCTCTGGAGTACACGCCTATGATAGAACTGGATCACGAAAGCCAACCTATCTTTTTAGTTTAGACATGTATTTAGCTCACATACATACGGTGTTGCTGTGCTAATCTCAAAAAGAAAACGGGTAAAGGTATTTACACAAAGGCAATTTATGAACGGCTCCACAGAACCCTACCACTATCAACTCTTGTGGAATCCCAGTTTTGACAGCGAAACGATACCCCTTTCTGCCAGCACGGAAGAAATCTCTTTGAGTTCTCCTGTCTCAATCAGAAAGGGAAATGAAAAGGCGCCTACCGTTTCTCGCCCACAACCGAGACGTTTTCAAGAGAAAACGAAACTCCTGGCGATGCAAACCACTCCTATGGCGACAGCTCTAATCTTTGTCAGTCCCTCACATACAATTACATCCTGACATTTCTAAACCCAATCAAAGGCCACAACGCAATTCCGCAGTCAACTGTAGGCGGGAACTTTCTGAGTCAGGCGGTCTCCCCCCCTCATCCCCCCCCCCCCGCGCGTCTCTCAGCGTTATCGCCTCAACCAACCGTCTGTCCCACTCCCATTTGCCCTTTGTGAATGGTCTTCATAGCCGCGCAAAAAGTAACCAGTCATAAGCCTCTGCTGGATCACGTGGGCAATGAAAACCAATCTTTGAGAAGATATTTTGGAAGGAAGGTATGTAATTATCGCCATTGTCTGGCCGGGATTTTTCTTATATTCCAAAAGAAGTTTCTTTTCTTATTGGAGGTGTGTCATTCCAGCATAGATCAACGTTTTCAGAAAGTTGTTTCTCTTTATCCTTCCTTGCTCTTTTCCTATCAAATTGCAATCTAAAACTTTTTATTCTACCCAGACTTCCCCTTTCTACGTGCTTTAGGATCATATCTATGGTATTAACCCTCAATTAGCCCGAGAGGGAAAAAAGTCCTGTCGCTTGCTGGGGAATCTGATGATTGCTTGGTTTTTCTCTTGCCTTTTTAGAAGCCTCCGGATGTGACATCCTGTAGAAAATATGCGTCGACTTGAATAGCCAGTTTTCCCGGTCTGTCTTACAGAAGAAAAAGATACAAAGAGGCTGATAGCTGAGGCGCTTTAAAAGCTCAATTTGTGTGAGGAGGAGGCAGGAGCTAAAGGTAATAAAATGTGTATTGTCATAAAGTTCTAAGTCCAAATTGAGAAATGGTTCCAGACAATACATGCACGCTGATTTGTGTATTAATGGAAAATTGTTTTTAGCAATTTTTAAAATTCATTTCAGTTCCATGTTGAACTTAAAAAAATAACAATGGGAATGTTATTTTCTACTTTAGCATGAAAGGAATTGCAAGCATTGTGGTTATTATTTTTTGGGGTTGGTAAAATGGAATGATTTTGTTTGGACCTTTGGCACATGATAATTTGTGGATTATACTTTTTTGATATATTGCATAATTTTTATTTCTGAATATAATCTTCTATTTCCCACTCAAAGAAGTGAAATAGATGGCCATTTAAATTGTTTAAAATATAGATCTCACTTCAAAAAATAAAAATTGAACACTGCAATACAAAAGTGACACTGCAGTATTCCTTCCCAAATACTCTCGGAAATAATTGTGACATCATAGTTCTTATTAGTCTGCAATTTTTGTATGGTTTCTGTTTATTATCATTTTTTTGTAAATGTATTAAGTACCAGGTTTCTAAAACTAGTTCCCATATCAGATGGCAAATATTCAGATGACCACTAAGTGGCAACATACATTAAGAGTTTTCTCTCTGTCTTTGCTGCCATACAATACTCATCCAGATTCTTGTGGATTAGGTAGGATAGCCTTCCTCAAAACTTTAAATTCAACTTTGTTCCTCAAACTATTGGATTATATTCTCACCATTTTTTCCTTTCTTTGTCATTATATAGGTCACAACAATTTTATCTCAACAAATTCTTCCATTTGAGGGTCTGGAAAGCAGGAGGGGGGGGTTGATAAAAGTAAGCAGAAGGAAGGGAGCAAAATCTGAGCTGATGCTGGATGCTGATGAAGGAAACATTTATATTGTTAGATATTAGTTTTGTGTCTTGAGAATCTCCCTGCTTACAGGAAGAGACCCCTGTGTTTTGAAAAGAGGAACAAGAGATATGAATGTTCAGGCTTCGCCACTCCAATATTGGAACAGAGCCAGAGATTTAAGGACATGACTTTTGATAAGATAATTGTTTTACAGATACTAGAAATTATGTTAGCACAAAGAAAGCAAGTGTAAACTAATAGTCATATAGACATACTTAAGGTAAAGTCTTAACTCTTTCCTGCCCATATGGGTAGCCACTAAATGGGGAGAGGGGAATCTCCTCAGTTGTATCATTATTGATTTTAGAATTTATGCTTATGACCTCATCCAAGCCAGTCATGATACCAGGACCAGGCCACAGAACTCTTGACTTAGTTATTTAATTTATATGCTTCCCAACTCAGTCAAGCGACTCTGGGTGACTTCACACTACAAAAGTTGGGATGGGACAAGGTACTAAGTGAGGAACTTCCTTTCTTCATTTTTTTAAAAAAAAAACTTTTTTCAATTTATTGTGAAATCATATAGTGAAATTGCATAGTGGTCTTTCTCCTTTTTGTGCCAGTTAGCTAAATAAAGGAAGCAGACTTGTTCAAAAATATGGTAGAGTCTCCATTTCAGGAGCAAGGTATTCTGGAGCTTTAATGTTCCTTTGGCTGGAGAACAGTCATGATGGATGTACACAATGTATATATATATTAATTGGACAAAGTATAAAAAGAATTTTTCTTACCAAAAGAACTTTCCACAAAGTATACAATTTTCTTTCGAGATTTCCGTCAAGCAATTTCCTCAGCTGACTAATTTTTATAAACATGATGATAAATCACACAAATATATTTTTCAGCAAATTATTATCTTAAACAAACTTGGTAATTTGTATTCCTTTTCAGAATTCTTACGCTGTTTCTTTAAAATTCAAATATTACTTTTAATCACAGATTTCAGTTGATATCATACCATCAAGCCATTTGATCAAACCAAATATTCATTTAAATAAGTCTACATTTTAATACTCTTATCTTGAGCAATCTTATTTCCAAGAATTGAATTCAAGAATGCTCTTTATCACATTGTTTCACGCACTGAAAAATATAACGCTCCATTTCCTTGTTCCTAGGTTTTCAAATTCATTTAATTCCTTGAAGAAGTAATAGTCTTAGATAATCCAGAACTTCTTTCTGCCCAGATGGCTGTTATTCAGATTATTTTGTGCCCTTTTCTATTTTTTTCAAAGCCAGCAGTACAGACTTTATGATAGCATTATAATTATCTAAAATATTCAAATTCTTATAATTTTTTTCAGCAGTGCCCAGCATATTTTATCTCAAAATATTTATGGAATATGTTCAGAAGTGTGTTACTATAGAAATGCCAAGAATTGAGGCAGTTGTTTTATTATGCCTGTTATTATCAGCAGCCTATAGTCCAAGATTCTGCACTGTAGCTTTTTTGTTTTTGGTAACTTCTTTATCCAGCTGCTCCCCGTGTGTTTGATTCCTTCTGTTCTCTCTGCCACTTAGCACTTTATTTCTGCCATTTTGGTATCCTGATAAAACGGATACAAGAAAAATAGAATTTTACAAGCATTCAGGCAAACTGTTCAAAAGGCTTCCGCGAGAACACTGTTCTTGCTCTTTTCAGCAAACTAATGATACAATCACTCCTAGGTCTATGGAGTATCCAAGGATGTTGAAATGCTCTGATAGTCTTGTTTTTGGTCCTCATTTAAAATTTAATTATTCATTAATCCTTTTGCTCAAAGTTTGTCCCATTTGTCCTATGTTGAACACTGCTAGCTGGTTATGTTAGATAAACTATAATGGTATATTTCCAAATGTTTATTGGGAAGTCAGTGAAAGCCACTCAATTACATCCTACTTAACTTAACTTCCCATTAGCAGCAAGATACCATCATATAAACACTGTATTTATATTTGTGTAACAATAAGCAATTTTAAACACATAGGCATGTTATCACCAAAAGATGGTGGTGTTAGGATTGAATTTGGATATAGATTAAGCTGAGGATAATTTGTATGCATTAAGAAATACTCATTTAATAGTGACTCTTGTTCCTCCCCCTTGCAAAAGAGTTGCATACTTTCTGGAATGCAAATTGTCCCCATTTATGATTGTACTTCCCTATTGTGAATTATCTTTTATAGGAAATTGTGGATATTGTGCTGAGACTACATTAACTTGTTTTGATCTTTGCCTCTTTCTTTCTCTTTTCTCTGGAAAATCTAAAATAAACTGGAATTGGCATCTCATTCTGCTGCCCAGAGAGATTCTGCAGGAAAGCATATGAAAGGAGGGAGGCAGTTATTTGAGTTTGTCTTTTGCCTGCTCACTCATTCTTTGAATGTTCTCCCCAGGAAGTCTGCAAATGCAGCAGCTACAAGAGAAAGAGGAGGGGTAAATGAGGCTCCGTTTGCAGAAATAGGTCCTCCCTACGAAGCCGTCACTGCCGGCAGCCGCCCTTCCTGGTATTGCAAAAAAAATAAGACCATCCAATCTTTTTCGACAGCTGCCCTGCAGGCGCAAAGAAAGAAGCCTAGAATTTCCCATTGTCTTTCTTTTGTCTCGTGGAATATGCCAGCTCAACAATTTTGGGGCCCTACTGCTGCTCCATGAAAGACATCTGTTGAGCTGAACTGGGCCAGACTAATTAAGGCAGTTGGCAACAGCCCTATTATTGATATAAAGCCGGGACCCTTTGTCTCCAATCCATCCAAAGCAACGTCAGTGGCAATAGCATAGTCAGCCTCAAATTTCTGCTGCCACCAACTGAGATTCCAGGTCATGTTTCCACAGCCCCTATTTCTTTAGTGACGAGCTAAAGAGATGGTGTCTTCAGTGCGTCGGACGACCTTGTCTGTCAAGAATCGTTCTCGTGGTACCAGTAACTCTATGCTGCTGCCTTCCATGTTGATGTTTGGTGTAATTGTGGCATCTAGTGGCTTACTCCTTATGATTGAGAAGGGAATTTTGGCTGAGATGAAGCCTCCACCCCTCCACCCCTCTGCTAAAGAAATGTTTTGGAGAACTGGCAGTAGGAGAACAGCAGGAGATATGGATTATCAAGTGCTGCAGGACATCCGAAATAGGACCATCCATACCGTTTGCAGACAAAAAAACATGCCTCGCACCATTTGGGATCTAGCAGCAGGCCAGAGGAGGACAGTGCTCAAACATATCCTGGTTAGTGACAAACATCGCTTTTTATACTGTTATGTTCCCAAAGTGGCTTGCTCCAACTGGAAACGAATTTTGAAAGTTTTAGATGGTGTGTTGGAGAATGTAGATGTTAAACTTAAGATGGATC